CTGGAGTTTTGGCTCCACTGGTGGACCTCCTGATGGCATCTGGGTTTGGGCCATTGTGTGACACAGTGTTGGACTGGATGGGCCCTTGGCCTGATCCAACATGGCTTCTCTTATGTTCATACATTTTTAGATCCCAGAAAAAAGCCACATATTGCCTTCCATTAAGGCCAAACAAAATGACACAACTCATAGTGTGAGCTTTCAAGTTCTTGGGAACTGCAGATGTATCTTTGTAGGATTCTTGCTGTTCCAGACAACACTGTCTTCTGGAGCCGAGCTGGTGTTATTTGCTCAGTGCCCAGAATGTCCAGGTGTTTCTTGGGACTTCTAGTCACTGCTCCAAGGGCTCCAGTGACAACTGGCAAGATGGTCACCTTCTTCTTCCGGAGGTGCTCTAACTCTATTAGTAGGTCTTTGTATTTTGTGATCTTCTCTTGTTCTTTCTTTTCTATTCTGCTGTCTCCTGAGATTGAAATGCCAATATCCTAAACCCTAGTTCTCATTTTTTCGATAATTATTACTGTTATATTATTATTATTATTTTGCCTTTCTCACTGAGACTCAAGGTGGAGTGGGTATGTATATATGTACTGTCAAGCTACAAGTGATTTATGGCTACCCTGGCAAACAGCTTTAAAGGAAAGTGAGAAGCAGAGGTGGTTTGCCATTGCCTGCCTCTGCAGAGTCTCTCATCCTGCTTAGCTTCTGAGTTTGGATGAGATCAGGATGTACCATGGCATCTTCCCTCATGACACATAAAGAAGAAGAGAAGAAGAGATTGGATTTGTACCATGCCCCAGAGAGGCTTACAATCTCCATCCCCTTCCCCTCCCCACACAGACACCCTGTGAGGTAGGTGGGGCTGAGAGAGCTCTTTCAAGAACTGCTCTTGAGAGAACAGCTCTGAGAGAACTGTGACTGACCTAAGGTCACACCAGCACCTGCATGTGGAGGAGCGGGGAATCCAACCTGGTTCTTCCAGATTAGAGTCCGCACTCTTAATCACTACACCAAAAGGCCCCTGACATTTTGTTAAGCAGTATCACTCCACATATGGACATGTGGTTCATTCAATATTACATAGGTTTATGCCCAGCTTGAATTATGAAGCAGACCAGTTGGGAATGACAGGAGGCAGTGTTGTTCTGTTATTTAATATGCCCTTTTGGTAAGTGGTCTCTGACTAAATTAATAGAAAGTTGTCAGCTCTTGAGAAAGGGTCTTTTTGAAACAGTCTTCATCAACTGTCCATCGGGACTTGATCAGCTGATGATAGATTTCTGCTTGAAGCCCATCATGGGAGATCTACCTGGAGATTGTGCATGTACGGGGGACTTCAGCTTGTATATTGTGTAATGTACTCATCATTAAGTGGCTCTTAAATTGGTGACGCTGATTGCTTTTTAGATTGTTCATGCCTTGTATAATATGTTCTGATATCTTCTACCTTGTATGTTTATAAATTCTATTGAATCTGTATTATTAATTCACTACATGTTGGATTAAATTGTTTACCGTAACTATATCGCTAACTAACAATATATACCATATATATTGTTTATTAGATAGAGATAGATGATAGATAGATAGACAGACAGACAGACAGACAGACAGCTAGTTAGCTTGCTTCATGATATGTTTTTTGTTTTTTATATCATCTAATAGTGATCCCCATTTGTATTTTGCTTTTACCAGTTTACACCCAGCATAAGAAGAAGAGATTGGATTTATACCTCGCCCTTCACTACCCAAAGGAGTCTCAGAGCAGCTTACAAACTTCTTTCTCTTCCATCCCCACAACAGACACCCTGTGAGGTAAGTGGGGCTGAGAGAACTCTGACAGAAACTGCTCTTTTTCAAGAACAGCTGTGCCAGAACTATGGTTTGCCCAAGGTCGTCCAGCAGGTGCAAGTGGAGGAGTGGGGAATCAAACCCGTTCCTCCCAGATTAGAGTCCGCACACTTAGCCACTACTCCAAACCTGCAGTTTAAACCCACAGGGAAATACGCCTGACATAAACTGATGTAATATCAAGTCGACCACTAGAGGGAGCAGAAGACAAATGGAACAGGGGGGAAACCTGGAGAAACAGGAACTTACAATTGAAAAAAAGGAGAAGGCGGGAAAGCCCAGTAATAATAATTATTAGTATCTTCTTCAGCAATTAGAGGCACAACCATGTGCAAGTGTGCATGAACACCCACACCTTCACTGTCCCCTCCCTCTCTGATCTTCAGTCCCTGGGATGCGGGGCTGAAAGGCAACACAATTGTTGATCTGTGCATACCCTGGATCCCTTCAGAACACATGCATCCCCACCCCAGATCCAGCACGGAATGCAGGTGGGGCTTCCACACGAAGAGGAATGAGGCAGTATAATGTTCAGGGGACAGAATGGACTGTACCGCTTTGGACTGCAGGTGATGGATTCGAACTTGGGATGCTCTTTCACCTGAATAAAAACTTCCCCTCAAAAAGAGAACTACCAGAGGAGGAAGTAAGCTTCTACCTTCCCTGTATTTGCTTGCTCTGCTAGTTTTCTCTTTGAAGGGAGCTGAGTGATGGAGAATGAAGGGAAAAACAATGTGTGTGATCTTTAAAATTAAAGATTTAGGAGAATGACATCGTACCTTCTTAATTGACAAGGAGTCCTTGATTCATTTGTTCCCAACTGAACGTGTCCAGCCTTGTCTATTAGTTTCAAACTCCATATTTGTACATAAGATTTGCGGTGTGGGCTCGGGGTGTTCTCAAGTTCTTGTATTTTGAGAAACTTAAAAATAGAACTTGTCTCTTCACTTCCTCCACACCCTTCATACTGTCAAGGACCTGTCTATAGTGGAGCATCAAAAAGTCCATTTGCACTGCCATATTATTGGATAGGTGCCCTGCTAGGGTTTTAAAAAACTAGCACAAATTCCAAATTTACCAGAGTTACACCTTTGGAGTTGTACTTAAAACCAGAAAGACCTGTGTTCAAATCTCTGCTCAGTTAATGAACAGCCTTGAGCCAGTCATGAGGGCTCAGACAAGAGAAGACAAGATCATGTATCCCTGTTTGTCCATAAAATGCAAAATAAAAGTTTGTGCTGCCTCAATTTGCAGAGTTGTGCGGGAAGGAAGAAAAGGTTTAAAGGTTCAGCCTCCACTCGTTTTTGCTATCTGAAATGAGATTTCCTGCTTTGTTATTAGCACTTTAAAAGGACAAAAAAGATGTGCTTTTGAAGGATGCTTCTCTTGTCCTTTAAAATGTCCTTTAAAAGGATGGTTTCAGTAAGCAAAATTGAGCAGAGGTTGAAGGGTTATTTCTCCTCTTTCTTCCCCACATGGCCCTGAGGCAAATGGAGGGAGCACAAGTCTGCAATTTGCATTTTATACATAGGCAGAGATGTGGTCTTCATCTGGTCTGTATTGACCTCATGGCTATATGTGGAACATAAAAAGAGATGAGGCAGACAGATGTATCATCAAAACTTTTCTGAGGGTTGAAATGCAAATAATATAATTCTGTAGACATAAGCCATCTATAGTTATGCGTTTTATGTCCCATTGATTTCAGTGGAAAAACTAAGAGAAGAAGAGATTGGATTTATACCCCGCCCTTCACTACCCAAAGGAGTCTCAGAGAGGCTTATTATCCCTTTCCCTTCCCCTCACCTGTGAGGTAGATGGGGCTGAGAGAGCTCTTCCAAGGACTGCTCCGGAGAGAACAGCTTTGAACTCATACCAGCAGCTCCATGTGGAGAATCAAACCCGGTTCTCCCAGATTAGAGTCTGCGCTCTTAACCACTACACCAAAGTGGCTCTACACATGTCCTACACCGAAAATGTGACCTAAAACTGCTTAGCTGTTGATGGATCCTGCCCAATGGATCCCCCCCCCCCGTTTTCAAATGTTTTTCAGATTTCTCCTCCAAACATCAATTTTAAGGGATTAAAAAAATATTAAAATTCATCAGCAAGGTTTAAGGTTAAAGCAGTAATTTGCCACTTGTACACATTTGTGTCGAACCCAACAGAATCCTGGGAAGGGGACTATCTAAAATAAACATTCAGACTGTTGCCAGTAAAGCTGAATTAGGAAAAATTGCATGAGTATTTTTGGCACATCTGCACTTTGCCAGGTCACAGATTTGGGTGTGCCCATTAGCAGAAGCTGTTCTGTACATTCTTTAGGATGGGGTCTACTCAGAGTGCTGAACACCTGGAACTGACAGTTGGTCTTACGGGAAGAAACTCTCAAGAAGGAGGAAGCATCGACACTCAGCCTAATGCTATAAGGAAACTGGATGACCTCCAGTGTCATAAACACACTGCAAAATGTCATGACATTCATCTAGCACTGCCGCTCATCTCTTGTGAATGCAGATACGTGACCTGTTCAGACATTCCTGGCTTCACAAGACTTTAAGGAGCCATCACTTCTGCATAGAAAAGGCCATGTAAATGGCAGCATCCAGGCTGTAGTATGCCTGAGCCAGCAGCACCTATCACAAAAAGGAGAAAACTGGCAATGGAACAAGACATCCAGTTGCTTTTATCCCAAGTTCTGCTGCCAGGAGGTTCTAAATAATTACAGAGCTGGAAAGCACTAAATATTCATCCAACCTCTTGCTCTTAAGGCCTGGCTCTCCATCCATTGCGAATTGTGCCATGTCAAGTATAAAAAAGTGCTTTATTGAGCATATACAGTGGTGTACTACCAAAAGGGTATACAAGGTAAAGACCATAAGAACATAAGAGAAGCCATGTTGGATCAGGCCAATGGCCCATCTAGTCCAACACTCTGTGTCACACAGTGGCCAAAAGCCAGGTACCATCAGGAGGTCCACCAGTGGGGCCAGAACTCCAGACGTCCTCCCACTGTCGCCCCCCCCCCCAAACACCAAGAATACAGAGCATCACTGCCCCAGACATAGTATTCCATCTATACCTTGAGGCTAATAGCCACTGATGGACCTCTGCTCCATATGTTTATCTCATCCCCTCTTGAAGCTGCCTATGCTTGTAGCCACCATCACTTCCTGTGGCAATGAATTCCACGTGTAAATTACTCTTTGAGCACCAGATGACTTAAGGAAGTGAGCCACGCTACATATTTCAGGAGAAGAAATACACCTAGCCTTCCAGGGTCATTGACCAATGTGTTCTTGAAGAAAATACCTTGCCGACTTCAAGTCTGGCCAACGATCAGATCTTGTCCATAGTCTAAATCAGATCTTGTCCATAGTCTAAATCTTCCTCTCTTTGCTGTTCAGTTCGGCACAGATGTACCTAATCCTTCAGCGCATCCAACAAACCTGTTTCTATGAAACTGCTGTGGATTTCACAGTGACCTGAAAAGGCCTCCTTGCTAGGACAGTATGATATGTCTGGGGTCTGGCAGGATGCTGGTTGAATGACAAGTGGGGCATCATTGAGGCCTCCTGCCCGGACCCCAGGATAGAAATACGGCCGGAGGGTCCCCGTGAAGGAGTCTGTGAAGGTAAAGATGTGGGACCCATTATCTGCATTATAGAAGGAGACCTCGCCCGCATCGTAGTCCAAGAAGATGCCGATTAAACTAGGCCTCGCCCTGAGCACCAGCTCTGTCAGGGGGGAGGTGAGAGCGGCATACTCATCGCCATTCCGCAGCCACACAGTCCAGAAACCTGTCGCAGGTGAGGGCGTGAAGATCCCCTGGCGGCTCACCGATTCTCGGCACACGCCGAGCGTCCAGCTGGTCTTGCTGCCCACGTGGACTTCCCAGTAGTATCTCCCAGAGGTGAATTGCTCCCGGCCCAGCAGGCAAGTGCACGTCTCGAAACGCACCAAGCTCTTGGGCACATCTTGCCTCCGATCTCCTACTTGTACACTGAGCAGATCCTCTGAGAGGAGCAGGTAGGGATTTGCGGTCTCGGGGTCAAAGGTCACCGGTGCTGCAGGCAGAAACACACCATGTCAAATCATAGAATCATAGAGTTGGTAGGAACCTCCAGGGTCATCTAGTCCAACCCCTTGCACAATGCAGAAAGGTCTCAAATACATTCCCCCATACCCCCAGTGACTCCCTGCTCCATGCCCAGAAGATAGAAACCACAAAATGAATACTGTGTATGTCCTTCACCTCAATTATTATACAATAAGGTTCAATTTTTACATTAAAAGTGTGCTATTGTATTTCTTATTATGACATCACAATCTTGCAACTACTTCCAAATTTGTTACATATATTCAATCAATAAACCAGCTTGTTTGTATGTTACAATATTGTTAAACAGTGGAAACATCATTGCATGCAGAGTATTCTGCTTGCTGGTGTATTTATGTGAATTGATGGAATATATGTAACAAATTTGGAAGGTGTTCCAAGATTGTGATGTCATAATAAGAAATACAATAGTACACACTGAATGTAAAAATTGAACCTTATTGTATACTAGCCTGATACCCATGCTTCGCTAGAGTACGGCCTAAATCCTGTGCTATGTTGCTGCAGTCTCATCAGAGTACAGATTTCATCAAACAGATGTTTTTATTTTCCTATTGTAGCCTCAAATGAATGCAAATCAGTTGCGATTTTCCCTCGCTGCAGTTTTGCCCTCATTTTGTTAGCACATACATTCATAATCCGTGCTACAATTACACTTGGCTCCGCGAAGACGTGCGTTTAAATCCTCACATGCATCTGAATTACAGGTCAGAATGTCTTATATGCTTATTTTAAATACACACACACACACACACACACACACACACACCACCTTTTGCAAGTTGAGCTGCCGGGATTGCTTTCTCAAGCAGAACAATGGAGAAGGAGAAACTTTAACTCTCCCCCCGCCCCCGCTGTTTTGGGGGATCGGGATGCCAACCTCCTCATGGGACCTGGGGATCTCCTAGAATTACAGACTATGGAGATCAGTTCCCCCGGGGAAAACAGATGCTTTGGAGGGTGGACTCTGTAACCTTGAACCCCAGACTCTACCCCCAAATCTCCAGGAGTTTCCCAGCCTAGAGATGGCAACCTTAACCCCCACCAGGAGGGACCTGGCCACCCTATGCTGGGAAAAACCCTTTCTAAGCTGCCTTTACTCTTGCTGAGGACAATTTATGGTTTGTGTGTGTATGTGTAGTGTGTGTGACTTTTTCACATGAAGAAATGTTCGTAATTGTTGAGCAGAACGTTGACAAAGCAGGCCTGTCCTCTTCTGTTTGCCAGTTAAAGAAGAAATCTTAAGGTGCCCTGAACCATAAAATTCATAGAATGGCTATGAGCTCTTGGCCTATTCTACTTTGCAGGGTTGTTGTGATGATGAAATGGGATCATGCACATTACCAGGGAAGGGAAGTGCGATGCTGCAGATGCTGAAAAGTCTTTAAGGCCCCGGTCACACGGAGCATTAGGCACGCTAGAGAGACGGAAGATAGGTGGATTTTCCGGGCGCGATCTCACCACCACATCTGGGAAGCGTAGAGCTCCCGTGGCTCACCCGAGGCTTCACTCTGAAGATGCGCTGTAAAAAACTAGTACCTCCGAGGTACTAGTTTCCGGAAAGCGCGGGGCAAGGGCAGGCGCCTGATCACGTTTCCGGTGTTAGCTCATGGCATCTGGCGCCCGCCCATGTCCTGTTGTGAAAAGTTTTTTTTGTCAAGTCTCCACAGGTGCGCACAAGCACCCAACGGCGCATGCGAACACTTGGGTTAAAAAAACCCAACACAACCCCCACGGCGCCGCTTCTCTGCTGCGCCGCAGGAGTGAGGTATGATCGGCACCTCCCCCCCAACCACGGGACGTCCAGCGGGACGTTTGATCCGGCTGCCGCGTGGTAGTTCGCTCCGGGGCAAACAGCCACGCCTCCCCCCCGCGATATCTGGCCCGTGTGACCGGGGCCTAAATATGTCTTATGCATATAGGTTCTACTGCCCATGCTCCGGTCTGTTAAACCAGGGAGGTCATTCTTCTGGTTCCTCCTCTTTGTGTCCTCAAGGCAGCCTGCAGCTAAAAGTCACAAACCTTCGAGGAGGACGATGTGACTGTCACTTGCTTCATCTTGTAGGTTGACAGCTTTAGACAGCGAAATACCCGGCATTTGTGGGGGGGGGAGCCTAAGGAAGGTGAAGTTTGTGTCAGGGAGGGACCTCAGCAGACTACAAAGCCATCTGCCCTCCAAAGCAGCCATTTTCTCCAGGGGAATGGATCTCTGTTGCCTGGAGTCCAGTTGGAATCCCAGGATATCTCCAGCCACCATGTGGAGGTTGGCAGGCCTATTCCTTTGGGCTTTTCCTTACAAGCTGTAGAGGCCCTCAAACATTTGCACACGTTGCTCAATGGCCAGTGCACCTGTCAGGTGTAGGAGGTAAGGGAGGTGTTTGAAGCCATGGGGGAACTGGGCCAGCAGCACTGCTGCACCTCACAGGTGGTTGTTGGCCATTCCTGATTTCCTCAACTGTCATTAGCTCTCTGCAGTCTGTTGTAATGGTTTGCTTTTTTACCTCAGAACACTGAGCTCTGCAGCTGACCAATCAGAGAGTGAGGGGTGCAAGTAGTCAGCTGTCTGGCAACCTCATAGGAATCAATGGGGGAGCACATTTTACCCCTTTTGACCCACTTAGGGGTCGAATTTCTAAAAATCCCTTCTTAGCGAGCACCTACGCCATGGTAGGAGTGCTCTCCCTGAATTTGGTGTTTCTAGATCCAGCGGTTTGGCCTGGGCGTTGGTTTTACGGTGAGGGGACTTTCTTTTATATATATAGATCAATTGAGGTGAATGACTTTTATGGTTTCTATTTTCTATACCATGTCCCTTTATTTTTGTCCACGCCCAGAAGAGGGCAAACAAAAAACCTCCAGGATCTCCAACCAAACTGGCCCGGAGAAAAAATGCTTCCTGACCCCCAAAGGGGCGATCAGCATTTCACTGGGCATGTAAGAAAGGGCCACGAGAACTAAACACTGATGCAACCCTTCCGGCCCTCCCTCAAACGATTGGCCTAAATCCTGTGCTATGTTGCTGCAGTCTCATCAGAGTACAGATTTCATCAAACAGATGTTTTTATTTTCCTATTGTAGCCTCAAATGAATGCAAATCAGTTGCGATTTTCCCTCGCTGCAGTTTTGCCCTCATTTTGTTAGCACATACATTCATAATCCGTGCTACAATTACACTTGGCTCCGCGAAGACGTGCGTTTAAATCCTCACATGCATCTGAATTACAGGTCAGAATGTCTTATATGCTTATTTTAAATACACACACACACACACACACACACACACACACCACCTTTTGCAAGTTGAGCTGCCGGGATTGCTTTCTCAAGTATAACAATGTAGAAGGAGAAACTTTAACTCTCCCCCCGCCCCCGCTGTTTTGGGGGATCGGGATGCCAACCTCCTCATGGGACCTGGGGATCTCCTAGAATTACAGACTATGGAGATCAGTTCCCCCGGGGAAAACAGATGCTTTGGAGGGTGGACTCTGTAACCTTGAACCCCAGACTCTACCCCCAAATCTCCAGGAGTTTCCCAGCCTAGAGATGGCAACCTTAACCCCCACCAGGAGGGACCTGGCCACCCTATGCTGGGAAAAACCCTTTCTAAGCTGCCTTTACTCTTGCTGAGGACAATTTATGGTTTGTGTGTGTATGTGTAGTGTGTGTGACTTTTTCACATGAAGAAATGTTCGTAATTGTTGAGCAGAACGTTGACAAAGCAGGCCTGTCCTCTTCTGTTTGCCAGTTAAAGAAGAAATCTTAAGGTGCCCTGAACCATAAAATTCATAGAATGGCTATGAGCTCTTGGCCTATTCTACTTTGCAGGGTTGTTGTGATGATGAAATGGGATCATGCACATTACCAGGGAAGGGAAGTGCGATGCTGCAGATGCTGAAAAGTCTTTAAGGCCCCGGTCACACGGAGCATTAGGCACGCTAGAGAGACGGAAGATAGGTGGATTTTCCGGGCGCGATCTCACCACCACATCTGGGAAGCGTAGAGCTCCCGTGGCTCACCCGAGGCTTCACTCTGAAGATGCGCTG